AATTTTTAAAAATGTCTTATTGGGAGTAACATAACAGCAAGTAATCAAGGTACACAGTGAATTGCTGTACATTGATGTTATGTTTAAGATATCATCTTTTCTAGTAATTCCTTTCATTTGGTATTGAATTTTGTTCTGCACAAATAGCATGGGTAAGGGTAAATTCGCAGAGCATGTTTCCGGAATGCGCATTGCCTGGAAAGACTGGCCCGCTGAGGCTGGAATGCGAACTCATGTTGCGAGCTTGCAGGCGCTCTCAAATACTACCCATTGGGCAGGGAGCACAATTATCCAGCATAAGCCTGGAGCACTTGATACGCGCTGAAAACTCGAGTGCCCAGTATGTTTTTCCTTCTGCGTGCAGACGTAATTAGCATTAGTTCAGTAGACAGCAGGAACCATGGTGTCTGTAGTGATCATATTGTGATAAATCACTGACATTCTGGGAAGCATCCTGAACTTAATTTTTAAAATCTTGGGTCCTTACGCACAGTCTGAAACAAGTGGGACTGTTTGCTCCACAGAGCTGTGCGGTTCGTTGGCCGCTGAGGGTGGGAAACGCGTGCCTGCTTCCACTGCGTGCCCCAGTGAGCGGGACTGCGTGACCAATCTGAGGGAGCAGGGACGCTGGAGCTCGAGCCCAGACCCCAGATTCTAACATTGGCTTTTGCTGCTTAAATGACTTCGGTAATTCACTCAGTCCTGCTGAATCTTCAAATCCTTGTGCTACCGTTTCTGGGGTAACACAGATTAAAATTGAGAACATGTTAGGCATACTTTATGGTGATATACATAAATGTCACGTATTTCACATGGTTAAAAAATAAACAGAAAGACTTGTTAAAGTGATAAAAGAAAAATGCAAATTATTCCACACCACTTAACAAGGCATCACTAACAGCCGGGTCCTGGCAGCCTGCACGAGGAGGGCTGAGCCAGGGCCACAGTTGAGGCCACCACCTCCTGGCTGCTGCGCGGTCCGTGCTGCAGGATGAGCTGCTGGGCCTTTCCGAGAGCCGGAGTGAGGCCGCAGCTTAGATAACTGCAGGCTCACCACCGCCCCGAAGTCCACTTCAGTGTTGAAAGCCCAAGAAGGTCACCTTCCCGCCCTGCAGCTCACGGCATTTTTCAGCAATGAAGGATATATTTTATTCATGGTGCTTAGAACAGAGGTGAATCATAAAAGTTTAAAAATTCAGTGATTCTAAAGAAAGAGAAATCACTGGTTTTATCTTTGCATTTTCTGAATGGTAAAAGAGCTGTCTGTTTTCTTCTGTAGAGGCGATGTGGTTGTCAGCTTCTCATTGCTGGGCCTAACGCACAACCTTTCCGTCTTAGTACAAAAGAAGTCAAAGGAATGGAGCACTGAATAAATAACACTGTGCATTCTTCCACAATCTGCAGAATTAAAAGTCAGCATAGATGAGGGAAAGAGAGTAAGGTCAGAGCTCTGCACAGAGCTTGGTTGCTAAAGTCTTGCCACCCCGCTGGAGGAGGTTTTGGAGTAGATAAAGGCGAACCTACTTTAAGGCCATTTGAACAGGACAGGAAGACACAGAACATTAAAAATGAAATGGATGGAATATTAAAAAGCTATATTTATCTTTAAGTATAAACTTTATTTTAGGATCTATTGAATGCCAGTGACTGCAGGTCCTGTTTTCTTTCAAGTGCGTGTTGAGCTAGGGTAGATAAGCATTGCTCGTTGTGCCCAAGGGGCAGGTTCCCAGGGGAAGGTCTCCGCCTATGCCTCCAGGAGCTCCAAGTCCGTACCCACAATTAGCCCAAGCACTTCCACAAAGCAGCACGCAGCACTGAAGAGCGGGCCAGACGAGAGCTTTGCGACACATACCTCAGCTTTCACAGAACTCAACGCTGGCCTTGCTTCCCTGGCAGGGGGTGAAGTCCTTATTCCTTTGCTTCTTCTGAAAACTTGGCGGGGAAAGAGCTGCACTTCCTGGTGAGGACAGAGAGCTGCCGCCAGCCAGGTGGCAGGTCACCTTTCTCTGAGGGCTGCTTGAGGCCCTAAGCAGCTTGAAGTGAAGCCCGAGCTAAGGGGTGAATGCCCACTGCCCAGCGGCTGTAGCGGCCTTTGTGGCCAGGGCCAGTGGGCCACTAGGGTGGTGCAGTGCGTCCTTACATCTGTCACAAGCCACACATCTGAAGGTTGTTTGTGTAGAACAGTAAAACATATTGTGACCAATTAAATTACACAAGAATGGGGCCGGGGAGATGGCTCAGTGCAATAAGCGCTTCTCTGGCAAGCGCAAGGGCCTGAGTTCAATCCCTGGTTCTGAAAAAAAAAAAATACACAAGAAAACAAACTAGGCTGAAATACATAATCCTGTCTTGGCTACAACTCCTTGCAATTCACCTGTTGGTTGTTTCGAGAGGTTTCTGCAGGCTTTTAAAGATGGTCTTTAAAAACTGTGCCATTTGTCCTGCGGTTTTATTTTAGCCATAATGAAAGTCCATGAAGATTTCTTCTCTTACAAGACAGGGATATATAGACATGTTACCAGCACAAATGAAGATTCTGAAAAATACCAAAAACTTCGGACACATGCAGTCAAACTTACTGGGTAAGGAAGTTTTCTTTTTCTTTCTTCTTTTTTTAATCTTACAGAGTTTATTTTATTCTGATTGTAAATCTAATACTTTCCTTAAAGACAATGTTGTAAATACATAGATATAAAGTGAAAGAAATAACTTTATATTGCCCAAAATAAACAGCTAATACTTTCTGCATATATCTGCCTCAATATTGACTCGATGACATTTACCTTTTGCAAATTAGATATGCATTTAATTGCTTGGCTTACAAGTTAGTATCACAGGGCTGGGGATAAAGCTCACTGACACAGTGCCCAAGACCTGACTTGATTCCAGTACCAAACACAAAACAACCTCCTCCCCAAAAGTTGGTATCATAGTAAAAAGCTTTTTCTACTTAGTATACATTTCCTTTATGTACAGTACTCTTTTTAATGGTACACTTCTATTAGGAAGCTAAGAATAAATTGTTTATATTGTGAATTTAAGATTTACTAAAATATAGTTGTACAGATTTTTAATAAAAAAGAGTTTGCAAACTCTGCCAAAATGAATAAATTTATCAAAGTGCCAGTTCTTTTCATGTAAAGAACAAAATATATTGCCCTAAACAACCAGTCCCAGATCAGCTAAACCCAGGCAGAGCCACTAAGTTTATAAACAATAATAAGTGGTTGCTACTGTTTATCTTTTATTCATTTTAATGAGAAAAAAGATAAAATAACAATGAAACAGTTTCTAAACAGGTTAGTATGACAGTTACAATAATTAATACATTGCATATTGTTGTCTTCATAGTAGTTACTCAGAGGACAAGATGGAGACGTGTTATCTTGTCTGAACAATATCAGTACAATCCTTTCCTCTCATCAATTAAGAGAAAGTAGCTGTATATCTATCCTAGCTCATATATATATATATATGTATATATATGTATTACTCAGCTATAAAGAAAAATAAACTTGAAGCCTTCATATATAAGCAGATGCCACTTGAAGATATACTCGTAAGTGAAATAAACCAGACTCACATGTGTAAATATCATATTGTCTCCCTAGAGTAAGAACTCAAAAGAAGAAATAAAAGTAAAAAGTTATAACACAATTGAATGGAAAGCGAGAACTTAAGGATTAAACAGTGAAGAGAGACAAAGGAGAAATGTTAGGAAATAAGGCAGGGGCAAAACCATACATTTATATAAACAAGATAGTTAAGGCAATGGTCCTAAGAATCTCCATCAGGTTTTTCAAAATAGCAGTTCATGGGTAGAATTCCCACCCTGACTAACTCTGTATGCTGGTATCTGTGAAGTAAGCTACTATACCGAGGACAGCAATGTGTAATACTAGGGCCATGCTTGGAATGCCTGTCATTTTGGTCTTCTAAATACTTACCGATTCTGATGACATACCAACTATTGCTATACTCTCTTTAAAGTAAATGTTGGTTTAAAAAAAAGGTAGTAAAAGAAAACCAGGGACAAGAAAAAAATGTCATAGGATTGTCCTGCTACAATGTTGTATATGGTTTGATTTCTAAATTTCTGTGTAAAATGTGTAATTGTTTTTTCACATTCTATAGGGTTTCAAATTTTATAATATCCATGGTGGTTGGAAAATAGAAATTCCATCTTATGTCTAAGGTGTTTGATATTCAGATAGATAGTGATGTTAAGCTCAGAGACATCTGTTACAGGGTAATAATATCATTAAGTTTCTCTTCTGCATGTTTAACAACTAAAGTTTGCAGACAAAAAATTAGAGAAATAGAAGGGCTACAAGGGTAGCCAATATTTTGGTCCTAGCCCTTCCATGTCAGTGAGGGCTCAGGACATAAGAGAACCTGTACTGTGATATCCTGTAACTCAGCGGTGCCCCAGATTTTCTGATCAAGGAGATTATGGGGCCACAGAGCAAAGTGATTGATGATGTAGAGTGCGCCTAAGGAGAGTCACCTACAGAGAAAACATTCTCTTAGGCTTTCACAGAAAGAAACTTGGCCAAGCAATGGCTGTGATTCATCCACATGACTGACACTGACAAAAGAGCTACAAACTGCTGTACATGGTGTCAGGGTAAATCCTGAGGGAATTTTACTGACCTTGCCAGATACAAAAGTTACATTTCTTGTTATATAGGTCTTGCTTTATCTTGGTCTTAACCATCCAGCAGAAAAGTATAACCATAAGGTATAAAAGTAAAGCCATATTAATATGCTGAGCTGTAAAAGGCTCAAGTCAACAACTTCTGACAATTACCAGTTCTGCTGATAATGCACTACTATTATGGACTATTGGACTATACTGGGTTATTTTGCTGAATTCAAGTACCTACAACCTTTGGACTGGCATCAAGTATGAAAAAGTCCTTTAAAGACTTCTCCAAATACAGCTTCTCTAACTGCAGAGGAATACCCATCTCTGACAAAACTAAACAAAAAAGAGGGATATAAATGAAGGACCATTTTGTAGGTGTTTCTCAAACTTCACTATTTGAAAGAGTTTGTTTGATCTTAGAAAATGAAACTAAAAATATGACTACATTCTGCATACTAAAATACCCATCTTTATGAGAGATTCTGATACAAATTACAATTTATTTAAATCCTATCAGTATCTTATTATTATTTTAGGGGTCAGTGAAGGATAACTCGACACTGTCCTAGGAAATGTGGTCCTTCCATGCTTCTCATGTGCTTGTGATTGTATCCCTAAGAGTATGTGCAGAAGGCACAGGGAATGCGTTAGTGCAGTAGGTCCTGCATGAGGCATCGTCATGCGGGAGGTGCAGACTCACACTGTGCTCTGGGGCCTGAGCGAGGAGGCGGGTGTGGGTGCTCTTGATTCTAGGAAAGTTATTTTATATTTTTGTGAGAAGTGCAGGAATTGCAATACTCAAGCTTGGAAGTAACATAGATTCATCTCTGCAAGGGCAAGAGAGAAGCTCACAATTATCTGCGAGGTTGTTTTAAGAGTAATTTCACAAATAGGTTCTACTCAGAAAGACGGTATGGTCCCAAACCCACTTAGTCCAACCAACACCTCCTCATCTTATTCTGACTGAGCCATCGGGTAAGCTCTTTCTCCAAGTGCCGGGCTCAAGCTCAGATGGGCTATCACAGAAGGGATGTGTTTTTCATCAGAGCCCTGGGTCTCCTCACCTCAGTGTTGTGCACAGCAAAGAGCTGCACTGCTGTTGAACATGCCGGCCTGATTTAGCATTTTCAAGAGGACACAAATAATCCCATGCATACCTAGTTGCCACCTCCTTACTCAGCTTGGAGACCTCCCTGAGTCTGTTTGAAGTCTATAGACAGCATTTTGTGGCATGTCTTTGAAATCAGCATCTCTCCTTTGGTTTCTTGTCCTTTTATTTATTTAT